ACATGCAAGCCTCGCATATAACTGGAAGCCAGTTGATGGCATGATCTTGCATGACCAGCCGCCGATGCAGCCTCGAGTCGCTATCAAGTCCTAGTTCACGGTGCCATCGTGAGGATCGCACATGCTCCAACCTAGTCTAGCAGCCTAGAAGATTTGCCAGCTCCTCTGGCGTCAAGGTGCTTTTTCTCCTCTTTGGCCTCCCACTGATTCGTGTCTTGACGGGAGATCTAGGTGTCCGCTTCTTAGGGTTTTCCTCGGACACTTCGGTGCTTTCGTCCGTCTTATTGGTGGAGATGTCTCCGTCGGTTACAGCGGCTGCTTCCGCGGCCTCTCGTAACTTGTCTTGGACCGATAGCTTCGGCGATCGCTCGTCGGGATGGGCACGTGGGCTCGACAAGCGCTTCTTGGTCTGTCGTAAATTGTCAGATCTGTTGAGGGATGGGTGTGATGCTGATGGGCTGGAGATTGTGGAGGGAGTGGACGTAGAGGGAAAGATGTCACAACGTACATGGCGTGGTCTGTCTTGACTTGTTGGTCTTGACGCTCGTTCTTCTGAACGAGGCGGTTTGGCTGCAGAGGTTGGCCGACTAGCCTTCTCCGCATCGACTAGACCTATCCCAGACGTGTCTGCGTTCTCTCCGTCCACCTGAGACGGTGTATTCGGTATGGACGCTGAGAAGGCGACTTTGCGGGGCGATCGACTGGGCGACTTGTTGCCGTTGGTCTCCCTCAGCGCTGGCTGGCTGGGTTGCAACTTGATGCTGAAGACATCGGGCCCGGTTGTCTTGTCTGGTCTCGCGTGTGGCTTGGGTGAGGGCAGGTAGACGGCCTCCTCTTGTTCTTCTGTATTGTCCACGTCTTCTTCTAAGGCTGAGCTTGCAGCTTCCTCGGCCTCGCTTTCTTCATCAATCACGGAGAATCCTTCCCTATCGACCGTCTCGAACCCTTCGCCAAATCCTAGTCCCATCCTAAGCTCCTCGAGGTCGATGGTGTCCCCATTGGTCATGCGCTTTCGCCAGGAGTCCATGAGGAGGAACGACTCGCGCAGCCGAGCCTCCATCTTCTCCCAGCCGGCGCGTAGCCTGTGAATCTCCTCCTCGCGCATCTCGACCTCGTCCACTGCTACAAAGTTTGGATTTGTGAGGAGGTTCTTCAGGTTGTCCAAGACCGTGTCCATGTCGTCGGCGAGAGTCTCGTAGTCGGTAGGCAGCGTGTGCAGCATGTCCTGTTGCGTGTCGTCTTGCTCGTCGCCCGCGACCGAGGCGTCGTCTGCGTCTTGTTTGCGATTGACTTCGGGCATGCCTTGTAGCTCCCTCAGTGTCACCAGAGCGCTCCGCACGAGGCCGATGAGGTTGTCGTTCTCGTCGCTCAAGCTCTGGCTCAGCTGGGTCAAGAACTCGGTCGTCTCCTGCTTCAGGCTGTATTCGGGGTCGTCGACATTGGGCGACTCGTCGCGCGCATGGCCCGTGGCGGCGCCCAAGCCCGTGCTGCCGGGGTTGATGGTGATGCTTGCGCCGACGAGGCCCGTCTTGTTGCCGCGCTGCTGGCTCGTCAGGTGGCTCTTGAGCCGTGCAATCTCCTTGTCGCGCTTGCGCACGTCGTTGGTGCAGCTGGTGCGCACTTGGTCGACCGTCGTCTTGAGGCGCTGCATCTCGGCGCGCAGCTTCCGCGCCGACGACTCGGCCGTGTGCAGGGCTTTGCGCGCCGACTGCTCTTGCGCCTGGGCGAGCGAGAGCTGTCGCGATAGGTCGGCATTGCGGTTGTGCTGCTTCTCGAGGGCGGCCGTCTGGCGCGTCGACTCGGCGCGCAGGCTTCGCAGCGTGTCGGCGCTGGATTCGCGGTATTCCTGGTCGCGCTGTCTGCTCATTAGGACCCTCCCCACCAGAACGTAAACGTGCATGTGCCTACATCGCGCTTCAATATCAGGTCGTGCACCAGGTTGATGATCTGGGCCATGGTGGCCTCTTTCCCCCCTTCTCCCCTCGACGGATGCGCAAACTCAATGGGCGTGCCATTGCGCAACAACCCCCGCGCAAGCAGCAGGTTGTTGATGTACGTCGACGCCGTCTTGAGATTGTACGAGTCCATGGTGAGTGCAGCCGTCGTGGTCGGCTACCGGCGGCGTCGTCGGATGTGGCGGCGTTGTGAGCTTGTCGGCCACTGTTTGTTTATCCCTGGGTTCCGATGCCCAGGTAGGAGGTAGAAGGAGCAACCGAACAAGCACGGACCTACGCGTTCCGATCCTTCCGCCACGACTCCATGCAATGTCGACGTGATACGACGACGTCCACCTTCAGCCAGCCCGTCACAGCCGTGCATGCAGCCTCTTCGTGTCCTTCTCGCATCATCACCATCGTTGCATCCGCCTGCACCCGGCTTCACCACCACTCGCGCTTCAGCAATTATCGTGATTACCAGCGACATACATATACTTCTCTAGCGTATCTGTGCGTGACTCTCGTTTCGCATGGCCCAGAAGTTTAATGCCACAGACGTGTTTTTCCCCTGAGATCGGACTCGGACTCGGTCCCACCATCAGCGCACCCCACCATGACCGTCGATGACAATTATACGCACTGCTTGTCTGACAAACCTTCGGGTTCCGAGACTGCCAGTCCTGCAATTCGGCACTCAAGTACCGTTTCCAATACTGGGCTCGCCTTATCCTATCCAGGCTAAATGCCCAATCCAGCAAACCATATAGTTTTACGACGGTGTGCGTCGATTCCCCTCAAATGTCGGGCCCATTACCGTAAGCTTCGCAGGGACTCACACATGATCTGCACTCAATTCCTCATTTCATGCGTCGCCATTGGAGGGGGTTTGCCGTATTTTGCGATTCTTCCACGCGATCTGCCCTAGCCATGGTTCTCCCCAGCTTGTGTACATGTGCTGCTCTCTGCATGGCTGCCATGGCGTCCGGAACCAAGACCGGAGACAGCTAAACCTAACGTCGAAGAAGCCCACATTGTAGTACTTAAGGCACATCGCTCATCAAGAGGTGGTCTGTAGGCTGCGTTCGTTCTTCTGCGCTTTCGTCCATCTTTCGCTCGTTCCTTACACTCATTCACTTCCAGACATGGACAAGTTCATCTCTCTCGCTCTTGCGACTCTCCTGTTAGGAGCCCAATCCGCCTTTGCTATTCCCACAGAGGCCACTACTAAAGCGTGTAACGAAATCAACAATGCTCTTCCAGGAAAAGTCCTCACTCCGGGACTTCTCAAGCTCGAATACGCACATGAGACGCAGCAATACTGGGCTACCAATCTCCGCGAAGTCGATCCTGCATGCATTGTTCAACCAGACTCTGCCCAAGATGTGTCCATTGCTATCAAGATCTTGAACAAGTACCCGACTGTCAAGCTTGCTACACGGAGCGGAGGTCACGATCCAAACAAGCAGCATGCTGCGGTCCAAGACGGTGTTCTCATCGCCATGACCAATCTAGTCGGAGCGACGTACGACGCAGCAGAAGATGTTGCTTACGTCCGACCCGGTGGCGAATGGAACGACGTCATTGGCGACCTTGAGAAGAGCGGCGTGGCAATCGCTGGAGGACGACTCGGTCTCGTCGGTGTCGCTGGTCTGCTGCTCGGTGGAGGTCTTTCCTTCCTCGGTGCTCAAGAGGGTCTTGCAGCCGATGTCAGTTTTCCGCTATATGCAAAGGGCAGCTATGCTAACAAGCGATAGAACATCATCGAATGGGAGACTGTTATGGCGAACGGGTCTGTCCTCAACGTCAATGCTGCAAAGCATCCCGACCTTGCGCAAGCTATGCGTGGTTCCGGTAGCCAGTTCGGTATTGTCACCCAGTTCAAGACTAAAGTCCATCACATGGGCGACGTCTGGGGTGGCTCGTGTGTCTTCGACGACTCAAAATCCGACGCACTATACGCTGCTTTGCACAACTTCATGGCACACGGTGCCGAAGACCCCAAGGCGGCTATCATTCTTACGGACCTCGTAGTCGCAGCTGGAATCAAGACGAAAATTCTCTTTTCCTTTTACGACAACCCTAAGCCACCTACATCGGGTCCGTTTGCCGATTTCTTCAAGATCGTCAACCCTTTGTGTCTACCCAAGACACAAAAGTACTCTGAGCTAGTAAGTCTATAATCCAACTTCAATGTGCCGTATAGCACCTAACGATTCTCAGCTGAAGGCAAACGGCGAGCCAGTCCGACTCTTGAACGCCCGCGCATTCTTCCGCACTTACACTGTCCCATACATTGCATCCCGGCCTCAGATGTACAAGGAGATTCGCGACAAGCTTGCTGAACTCACTGGTATCTTCCTCAACACCCTACCTGTCGTTCGCGCCATCCAGTTCAGCGTTGACTTCCAACCTCTTCCATCCCGCTTTGGAAAGATGTCCGAGTCCAAGGGCGGAAACGCCATGGGACTTTCGTCCTCCGACCCTGACCGCATCATCCTAATCTACCAAGGAGCGTGGAACTTGCCCACAGACGACGCTCTTGCGTTTGGCATCGCCAGGGAATTGACGGCTTGGTTAGACAAGGTCGTGCCTCAATGGATAGCAGAAGCGGGTATGCCAAGCGACATGTACATGCCATTGTTCATCAACGATGCCATGTGGGACCAGCCAGTTTTCCAGAGCTACAAGGATTACAACAAGTTTAAGGCATTGCAGAAGAGTGTTGACCCGAACGGCTTGTGGAGCACCAGGGCAGGTGGTTTTAAGTATTAGGTCCTTGTCGCCAACGTTATTATTATCCAGTACATACAATAATGTGTATTTTAAATATGAGCGTGTCAATTGCATCTTTCGCACGCTTGCTGCCGTTAGTCAGTCGCATTCTGGGAGCAGAATAGGAAGGTGTTCTTGAAGCAGCGGGGCCACTATACTGAAAGCGGGGTAGTCGTACCTGGGTGTCTGACTCCATCACTACCAGTATGACTGTCTTGCACACACGTCGACTAAAAAAGCTCTTTCATCTTCTTGTCTCGCCGCAAACTTTCTATCTACTACTAAGGCACGATGGCTCAAACACTCCAGTTCACCAGCTACGAGCATGAAGATGCCTGGGACGTGAATTGGCTGCGGGTGGATGACACCCATGAACTTTACTATCAACAGTTTGGCAAGAAGGACGGAAAGCCTGGTAAAAGTGTCAGCCATGTTGTCCAACTTTCCTGATAGTTAACGCTTTGCAGTCATCTACCTCCATGGTGGGCCTGGCGGGAACTGCTCCAAAACCAACACCGTCTTCTTCAACCCCTCTGAATACCGAGTGGTTCTGCTCGACCAGCGAGGCTGTGGTCAATCGCGCCCTAATGCCAACACAACAGACAACACTACTTGGCATCTCGTCGAAGACATCGAAAAGCTGCGCAAGCATCTGAAGTTTTCCAAATGGCACATGGTCTTTGGTGGCTCCTGGGGATCCACACTCGCTCTAGCATATGCGCAAACACACCCCGATAGTGTAGGTAGTCTAGTCCTGCGCGGCATCTTCACCGTGCGAGACATCGAACTCAAGTGGACCAACCATGCAGGCGGCGCGCAAATGCTGTTTCCCGACCGCTGGGAGGACTTTATCAAGTTTTTACCAGAGGAAGAACGTTCCGATCATATCGGCAACTACCACAAACGCCTCATGTCTTCGGACTCGTCTATCAGTCATCCCGCGGCTGAGGCGTGGAACACGTGGGAGCTATCAATCAGCACCCTGTATCCTGACCCACACGCGTACAAGAAACTGAAAGAACCAGCCTATCTGCTCGCACATGCTAGGATGGAGATCCACTACTTCATCAACAAAGCATGGATGGAAGACGGGCAGCTGTAAGTCTTGGCTGTACGGAATGCAGATGATTACTGACTTCGTCCTGCAGGTTGAGGAAGGAGAACGTGGACCGGATCCGGAACATTCCGACGACCATCGTGCAGGGCAGGTACGATGTTGTCTGCCCGCCGGTTACAGCCTGGGAGTTGTACAAGCAGTGGCCGGAGAGCAGATTGCACTTCATAGACGACGCTGGGCACAGTGTTATGGAGCCCGGGACGAGAAGGAAGTTGACTGAAGTGTGCGACGAATACGCGTCTCTGAGCGTCTAGCCCTATGCAGCCGCGGAACCCGTGTTAGGCTAGCGTTATTGTGAGACATCACGATCCGATGAATTTGACGAGAAATTAAGCCGTGCTTGAGCATGGCAGCTTTGGTTTTACGGGCCGTTTATGTGTTGGCTGACTAACGCCAAGACTGCCTGCTAAAGCCCAGAAGACTGCTGGGGCCCGCGCAAACGTCGCACGCAGCACCAGCAGTCTTCATTCTATGTGAGTGACGTAATGGACCATGGCTACGACCGCGCCCATCTCGACCACGACGCCACCCGCAGCTATCGATAACCACGAACGGGTACGCGCATACGAGATCGCCGCGTGAGAATTGCCAGCCGACGTCACATTGCCGATTCCTGTTGCTAACACGGCCCTAGATATCTCTCTGCCGCGTCGTTCCCCTTCCACATCCCAGAAGGACCGCCGTCCGAACCAGTCCCCAGCAGCGACATAACCCTCAACGCCCTCGTCCAGCATGGCGTGCACAAGATGGACTGCGATCGCGCATTCCTTTCGCTCATTGATAATCGAAATCAATTCATATGCGCAGAGATGACGAGGCACCAGTCGCTTTCGAGTGCAGACCCGGCCGAGCCGCTCTTGCTGGGTACTTCGCGAATCGCTCTCGAATGGGGCGTCTGCCCATTCACCATGTGCATCTTCCAGGGCAAACCAGTGCCTATGCCGGACAGTCCCTATATCATTGCCGACAAGTCGTATTTCTGCATAAAAGACTTTCGCCAGGTTCCCACATTTGCCGAGCGCCCGTTCGTGGCTGGCTACCCGCACATGGTTTCATACCTCGAGATACCGCTGTTTGCAATGTCTGGGCACATATTGGGCAGCTACTGTGTTGTTGACACTAAAGAACGGGACTTTCTGCATCCCAAGTCGCTGAGCACTCTTCGCGAAACTACCTCGGCTATCAGTGCATACCTCGATATGCGACGCGCCGAAGCTTGTAAGTCTCGATCTGCTGAGATGATGCAAGGTCTTCGCCGCTTCGTAGCTTCAGATGACATGGTTCCAAGGTCTGTAGCCCCTGTGCGCCCTGGAGCTCACACAAGCCAATTCGACCTAGATGTTTTTGGCGCCGCCTCGCGAAGAAAACCTGACAAGAAGCTATCCGACGGCACGAATGCAAGCGTCACCATGCCAGACCATGTTCAGTCATTGCCTGTTTGCGATGCATCTGTTATCGTTTCGCCCCAAGATAATGTCTCAAAACGGGTCAAATCTGACTTTGCTACTCAAGTCGACACTCTCTTCATGAAAGCCGCAGATAGTATTGGCGATGCTATGGGTCTGGATGGCCTAGTCTTCTTTGACACCGTTTCAACTGGCACCCGAAACAAAGGTTGTCAGGTACGAGACATGTCTCCTGACAATACATCTTCGCCAACATGCGATCTCTTTGCGGTACCTCTGTCCTATTACCACAGAGATAACGCCCCCGGACAGCTGAAATTGCGTCAGTCGCTCATCCAGCGCTTGACTGCCAAGTACCCTCGAGGGCATGTCTTCGCAGTCGATGAACATGGGGTCTTCCAACACGATTGCGATGGCGAACTTGACTCTGGTGCGGATGACAGATGGAATGACCTCTTCAGTTTATTGCCAAAGACCCGCTACGTAATATTCCTGCCTATGTTTCACTATTCAAGAGAAGCTTGTTACGCAACCTGCCTAGCCTGGGTATCTGACACCGGCAAAACACTTGATACTGGCGATGTCAATTCATTGACAGCTTTCGGTAACTCACTGATGGCTGAGGTCTTTCGCTTAGAAGCATGCGAAAATACACTTTCCAAGTCGGACTTTGTTTCGACCATCAGTCACGAGTTACGAAGTCCCTTGCATGGCATTTTGGCCAGCATTGAGCTGATCCAAGAAAACTGCCAGGGATCTGGTTTGATGTCGGAGATCTCCATGATTGAGTCTTGTGCGGTTACTCTTCTCGATACATTTGACCATCTGTTGGAATATTCCAAAGTGAATAGCCGCGCCAGCGTTGGACAAAGAGGCGGAAATGGAGATCCTCGTTCCACCACCCACGTTCATCACGGTGCAGTAGCTGTCGACTTGGCTTCTATGGTCGAAGATGTCATTGGGACTGTTTCTGTAGGTCATGACCATTCTTCGCGCCTCTCTTCTGGACTTAATAAAGAGCGTCAAGATTTGTTGGCTGGATCGCCCGCAACGGCACAAACCGAGCCTGTCGTCGTCACCACACGCATTGAAAAGGCCCGTGATTGGACCTTTGTCATTGACAAGGGTGCTTGGAAGCGCATTTTACTCAATGTCGTCAGCAACGCATTGAAGTATACCAAGTCGGGCTACATTCACGTAGGTCTAGCATTTATGGAGGCTGCCGATGACAGTCAGTCACAAATCAGTCTTTCTGTGACCGACACGGGTGTAGGCATGAGTGAGGATTTCCTCAAGTACCATCTCTTTACACCCTTCATTCAGGAGAATCTACTAAGTCCAGGAACTGGGCTAGGTTTGAGCTTAGTGAAGAGCATCGTGGAGTCACTACACGGAACTATATCAGTCTCTAGTCGTTTGGGCAAGGGAACGAAGATCATCATCAACATTCCGGCTAGTCAAACGGCGCAGACACCAAATGCGCCACGTAGCGAGAACGTTTCCTCTCACGAATGCCTACGCGGAAAGGCAATCGGTATGCTCAGTCTCTCTCTACCCGAAGAGCAAGGCAAAGAATTTGCCCCCTCTATCGATTCGCCTCCCGAAGCGCTGGAGCGGGCCGTTCAAAATATCTGCCAGGATCGCTTCGGCATGAGGTTCACCACTGTTTCCACAGACACACTTCCGGTTCTGGATGTACTCCTCATCGATCACCATGCCATCTCTTCGACACTCACGTACGACTTGAAAACATTGTTCCCTACGTATACGGGAGGGACTTACCCGGTCATGGTCGACCTGCGCAATATTAAAGGCGCACCTCCCGAATCTGGCACTAGCAAGGCCATGCACACGGTACTAGTCACTGCAAACTCGCTCGGACCTGCACTCATCTCGGCTATGAAGGATGTCACTACCAAGGAGAAGGCATTGCCGTCCATAGAAGTCAGAAGCAGACCTGACATGGAGCCAACAGAGCCGTTAGAACATGCCGACACAATGCTAGAGCCAGACCCGCAAACCAAAGTACTTCCACACCGCAGCTTATCGTTGCAGCGTGTGACACGAGCCGACGCCGCCACAAGTCCTGCTCTACAAGCACCATTACCAACACAACCACCTACCCCGCTTACAAGCAGCCCGACATGCCGATTCCACCGTCTGCTCTTGGTAGACGATAACCCCATAAATCTAAAAATGCTATGCGCTTTTGCAAAACGCCTCGGCGTACCGTATTCCAGTGCCACCGACGGCGCAGAAGCGGTGCGTCTCTATCGAACCGCCACTGAGCAAGGGGACCCAAAAGCAAACTATGACTGCATCTTCATGGACATCAGCATGCCAGTTATGGATGGCTTCCAGGCCGTATCAAAGATTCGTGGAATCGAACACGGTTTGCTGGAAAAAGGCATACCAAGACAGTCCGATGACGCTGCGAAACATGGTTTAGATGGCACTCTAGAGGAAGAGAGAGGTACCCGGGCGTACATCTTCGCATTAACGGGTCTTGGTAGCGAGAAAGCGCGAAAGCAAGCGAAGAATAGCGGTTTTGACGAGTTCCTTCTCAAGCCAGTGAGGTTCAAAGACGTCCTACCGTTGTTGGCACGTCTGCCGACTGCATGAGGACTATGGGTCATCTGTCGCATTGAATGCAGACTTATTTATGGGGGCGTTGGTTTCATTTAGTCTATGTAACATGCTGGCGTTCAGATTCTGGGGAAGCTCTACTAAGAGCATATGGATGTAATAACGACCTTGGGGATAAGGCTTCCGGTAGCACCGCTTGCTCAACATACGAACAATTTCAGAACAGTGACAGCATCGTGAGTATGCGCTACACACTGACAGCTGTCTTGCAGTGACCTAAGGGTAACCGATGTTGTCTTGGCTAGCCTTCATCATGTCTGTCAGTGTTTGCTTTTCTATGTCCTATAGCAAGGCGCTTGCAACTCGGTTCAACCCCTCCGACGGCAGCGAGAGGAGCTACGAAAGCCCGCTCTGTAATTGCGAAGAACGAAAAAGTAAAGAAACACGGACGGGAGGCTGAAAGTAGAAGGTGCCTTTCTGCTTGGAGGACTAGGAGCTTAGCCTCGACCAAACATCTATAATGGTAGATGCTGTCATGCGGAGGCGCCTCACGACTTCTTGACACCTGAGAGATCGAGAGCTGGATCGCATTCTTGTTGGCGGAGTTCGATATTGAGGTGACGATGTGGCGCCGTCACATGGATGAGGACTGTCTCGTTTATGGTCTTTGCTTGACGTTTGTTGGTGCGTTAATGATGGGGTTGGAGTCTGAGCGCCTAGTTGAGGACTACCCAGACATGTTATATGCACACGCACTTGTAATTGAGGTTCATGGTAAGTCTTCCACTCACTGCTGTACGTGGCCGTAGTCCGTTTGGAGGTCTGTAGAAGTACGGCCGACTTCACAAAAGACTGGCTCGTACATGAAAGAAGCCAGTAAGAATCAATCAGCGTATTGAGCCCGACTCAGTACAACATCAAAGTGAGTTCTGCCCAGTGGCGTCAGAATGTGGAGTTTAGCGTCCTGTGTCAGAGCCTTTCGTCTAGGCACGCGCAAGTTACATGGCAGTGCAGACAGTACGGAACACCCGGCATCGTGCTTTCTACTGGTGTAAATTGCCAACGTGCTTTTTCGTTTTCGTTGTTTTGTTCATGGAGGCTATTTAGAAGTTTGGTAGCTTACAGGGTTGGTCACAACGGTCGCGAGTGAATACCCGCAGCAAATGCGCCTCTGCAATTAGTTGGTGGTTAAGCACAAGCTGGCATCACATCAAGTACGCCGGCAATATACCGGTGGTTTTTACGGCTAATGGTGTTGGCGTAAGGTACGATCTCACCAAACTTTGAGCTGACGTAGCTATCTGGGAAGGATCGGCCGATTTATACCTATCTGGACATTCACTCTTAATACCATGTCTCTCATTTCCTAATCGACATGTGTTGAGTATTCCGGTCGCTACAAATCAGCAGAAATTGTGCAGCGAAGTCGCCGAAGTTGAGCTACCATAACAAGCACAGGAGCTAGCTCCTCGCCAAAGTATAGGAGCTGTCTGTACGGCTAGTGTCGGCGAGCGTCCGCGACTCAGCGGGCTCGGCATTATTCCGAGCCCTGACTTGTACAAAAGAAAACAACAGCACATCAGCCGGACCCTTTGTATTACTTTTGGCGGACCGCGCCACGCAGCGAACATGTCGCATTTCCCTTTTCCAGGTAGTCACCTGCATGCCGTTGTACATTGTGAGACTAGATTGCCATCTACACGAGGGGCAACAAAAGCCTCCACGTGACTTGGCATTGGTTGCGGCCGCTCCGGACATGGAAAAAGCAGATCTGCATAAGGCTCGGCGACCCTACTTCGTTGCTGGGGTTTCTGACTGGACGATCGTAGGTGCCTGCTTCTGCATGTCGGGCGGCTGCATCATCGCACTGATGTTCGACGGCTACGCCCGCAGAAGGATCGCCGACCCGTAGATACCGCTACTACACTACACCCTTTCCAGTGGGGCGCCGCTTGCCAACAAAGAGCTACTAACTGAACAACCTCAGCTGAACTCGGGCATGTCGACAAGAAGCCTTGTTCACAGAAGGTAGCGATCTACTATGCTACTGCAAGGCTAATCTTGGTGCGGTGAAGCGATTGGGGTAGTCTGAGCTCACCCTGCAAGTTGGGAAGTGACATGAGCCCCTTAGCCCTGATATCGGTTAGTGCTCTCTACCCAATACGGCGTGTCTTGATCCACTGGGAGTAAATTGTTGATCATGTATTAGACGAGAGTAGTGGGAATCGATGATCGCAATGCCATGTGTAGATTCAGCCGCAAAAGCCCCACTCGGCGATGGATCATGGCAGATCTCTCTGCCAGAGACGATTTCGGTAGACCCTGTCGATAATCACTGTTAGGTAACATCAACCACAATGCTGAGAGCAAAGTGGTTATTGACGATAGTTGAAAGCTGCTTCAACACGATACGAAAAAATATGTCAACTTATGCCATACTCCTATCAATGATCTCTTATAATCAACCTCCAAGCAACTTTTGCCAGCTGATTCAGAGGCCTACATGCAGGTATCAGAGTGTGTTCGGTCAAGGCAAAGTGGATTGTAGTGCATGGCCTCACTTGTCATTAAACTTTGTTCTTTTGACAGTAGCGTACGCTACATCACCCACCTTCTGGGTTATGGGCTTGATTGGCATCTCAACGCGGTGTACAGGAGGATCAGCGAACCTAGTTGTCGTTCAGGACTACGGGAAGCATTTGCTCCGTTGACTCGAGCTTGGCTACATCGCACGTCGGGTATAAAGACATCGCAGTCTCCCATGAAAAGAAGGTATCGCACACCTTCATCTGCAATCATCACTCCTCACTTCTACCATCTACCACCAACAAGCGCTTTCACAGCTTCTTACCACCTCAATCATGGTCTCATTCCGCAACTTCTTCACCGCCGCCTTGGCCTTCTCCGTGCCTATCTCGGCTGCTATCACGCCTGCTGAGGTTGTCACCAACATTAAATCTATTACGACGAAGAGCATGGCGCTTCAGGCGCCGGCCAAAAGCGTCACCATTGTCAGTGGACAACTGCTCCTCATCGGTCAGGGACCATTCCCCGAGATCATTAGGGGCTTCGCAGACATTGTAACTACCGCCACCACCGCCATCGCTCAGATGCAGGGCATGCCCAAAGAGCCCGCAGGCGCTTCTACTGATGCCGTCTTCGAAGCCTTCCGCGAAGTGAGTACCATCTGTTCCACAGATATACATGTTGCTTACGACGAGAAACAGTTTGTCCGAGTTCATCAAGCGCTGCTCAACATCCTCATTGGCAAGGCCGGTTTGTTCAGTACTGTCCCTTTCGTCGGTGCGCCCGTTGCGGCTGTACTCAGGCAGATCGAGAAGGTCGTTGATGTAAGTCTTTCTTCTCTTGTAGTTTTCACGCCTAGCGCCCGCTCCGATACTATCTGTTGAACTCGAACGTAATTCCTTGAGTCTGCTCGCTAACAGCCTTTCGCAGACGATTGCCTTCATGTTGATTGATACCTTCGAGGCCCGCGCCGCAGACTTCAAGGATGAAGCAGGTGCCCTTGACGGAACTCTTACTATTTGCATCAACCAGTACCAAGGCATTGCCAGCGGTATCACCAAGAGGAACCTCAGATTCGCCCGCCGCGAGATGGTCGCTGCTGCTTAGATAGGCTTTCAGCCCAAAGATAACCAGGCGGAAAGCTCTCGGAGCTGAACGATATCTGTGGATGGAGTAGAGGAGGAGTGTCGAGGACGATGGGCAGTATTTGTAGAGCCTTCAAAGGTCTCAGGACAGTCATTACCACATGGTTGGCCATGTTTCTGTTTGACAGCTGCACTTTACGGTCGATTGCATAGTTAATGTAAAGTCACTTTCGTCCAAAAGTCCACCATCACGATATGAGTGTTTTGCATCTATTCCTTGCCTCTGCGTATAAGTCGTAGGAACTTATCACTAGCGCTCTTCTAATACCTCTCATCTCGGGTACATCTCTCTATGTTTGCTACTCAGCAAGCGTCAGCGCACTTGCGGGAAGTCTGGCTGCTGACATCGATATTAGCGCCGGGAGACGGGTGGACACATCCTTCGGGCCATGGGTCCTTGAAGAGAAGCCAGCGAAACAAGCACCGATAAAGAAACTTTTCATATCTAGTCTCTGTGATGGCTGGGTAGTTTGTGGGTGGAATGCCTGCTCAAGTGCAACTGAAGAAAGAGCGACACTCTCTTCCGGCCTAGCGCGGTGACATCATCCCTTCCGCTCTCCTTGGGTACTCCTTCTCTCTTCATTCCTCTGTACATTCACCCAAAGAACACAATGCGTATTCTCTAGGTTCAGTCGTATTCTTTCAATACATGCTCGCGTACTGTTACCAGTGCGCGGCTAGGAGACAGATATGAGAGCGCAGGCTAAATTCTCATAACCGTAGCTCGTAGAGCAACTCAAGAATAGTCGACAATATTCACTGGTGGTCTGACCAAATCATGTAGTCATCGTTGGTGCACGGACAAGCTTTATCACCTAGGCAGCGGCAGCTTTTGACCTCGGGGCTACAGCAACTCTGGCTCTCCACGTTCAGTCAACATAAACCCACTCCTCAACCTACCATCATTTGACTGACCCTCTGGAGACCATATAGGGCAATCTTCCTGATTGGAGCACCAGCAGAAAGACAGAATGGACTTGATCGAGCTTCCAGTAGAGCTCCTCAGCCGAGTATGTCGCTTCCTCGGACGAGCGTCGGGTACCAACAACAACAAGTATTCATACAAGAACAGAGACTTTGGATCGCTGCGATCGACATGCAAAGCCATCTACGGTAGGACCGAGTTCGACGCAAGCATTCGGTACGGCCTCCAGGAATGCCGCTTTTATCTCGAGCCGTCGTCGCTTGCTCTCTTCCTACACTTGTCCCGTATCCCCGCCTTCCGCAATCGAATGGTGCGCATAACTGTATGCCCGCTCAAAAAACCCAAGACGATAAGCGACTACGAATGGTATCTGCTACACGAGGACGAGTACAGCTTTGTGAGGTCTGGTGAAGCCGCCCATATGCTCGCCCAATGTTTCC